AAATTAGATAATTAGATAACATGCACTTGAAATAATACAATTTAACTGTGTTTTCTTATTTTAAGTGTAAATTGTCTTGTTCCATTGGCAAAATGTCTCTTTTACCTACTCAATTCAAGAACAAATGCACTTATTTTAAGAAAAAATGACTTATCTAGATTTAGATTTTTTGCAGTGTGTCTTCTTTACATTTCCAATAGCATTTCTTTAATTAATTACCAATTAAAGTTTTGTGCAGATGGGATTCCATAGCTGCAAACATTATGCATAGTTTTTATTTATTTATGCAATAAACCAAAATCCTTGTTTAAAGTCTGCAATTGTAGACAAAATTTTCTTTATAACTGATTTCTTAGGTTTTAATTAATAAACATGATAGATGAGTTTAAACTAAAAAAAAATTGCCTCTTGGTATAATTTTCATTTGCATATTAATAAAAAATAGACATTTAATTTTACCATCTAAGTTCTTATCATCTTAATGAAAACTTTAACTGTTATTATTGTTTGTTTGACTTGAAGTATTTTTTTTAAAAGAAATAAAGTTTACCATGCTCTTTTGTAAATTTATTTTTGCATTAGTTGTCTAACGGGATCTTTACTGAATGCTTGTTTTCTCTTGTCGAAGCGCTGGCTTCTTCTTCTGGATCTTTTTATATCGTGGTTTCCTCTCTTCACTCGGGGAAACTCCTAAAGCACTTTAAATCAAAGCTAAACAGATCGCCTAAAGTGACTCGATTATGATTTTAGTTGGGCAAACTAATATAGATTCATCTGAAAACTTCTTTTTAACATTAAATAAATAATTTAGTCACCTAACTTTATATTAATATCCTCTAAGCAGTCTTAAATTTGTCTATTTATCAAATCAAAGTGTTTTTTGTTTTGTTTTTTTAATCTAAATTCAGCAATATAACTAAAGCAAAGTGTTCTTTAATTTTATGACTGAATCTTTTTTTTAAGGGAGTTTCTAAGAGTTGCAATAAATCAAAACTTTTCCTTGTTTTTTTTTTGTGCTGTTTAGAAATGCAGCATTCTCCTTTTCACATTTTCTCTACCGTTGATAAACTGACCTCTTAAGATTGTTGCATCTGAGATTTTACAATAAAAATCAAAAGAAAGCGCAACGGTGGGTAAATGGACTTGATTGGCCACTATTTCACCTCCCAATTTCAGTTTGTCAGGGTAGATTTAGTGCAAAAAAACAGTAAGATCTTATCTTTGCCTGCTGTGATCGGCCGGCACCGCAGCCTCTCTGTATCCTCTGGAGATATGCACCATCAGCACTGTGACCTGAAGCGTAGATAGATGTTCAATGTCATAATAAAAGCCTTTCTGTCGTATAAAAAGGCTTTATGAAAAGGTTTGCTAATAAAGTTGGTACATTTTATTTGCTGATTGATTTTTCCATCTGTGTGTTGCAGTTTGCCCTAACCCTAAGGGTTTCAGAAGACGAGCTTTTTGTGGAGAAGATTGAAGATTTAGTTGCAACCTTTGCGTCCCCTAAGATTTGATCAAGTCCCTCTTGTCCTAAAAGTACCCTCCTTGCCTCTCTTGCTCAACCGGCCCTCTAATATTCAACTGTCGGCCACTCGTTCATCTGCGGTTGTGCCATTAGCTCCCTTCTTTTCGCCCAGAACGGCCCCAGACTCTGTCCACGCCCTTTCCCTGGCTCCCCGGCTTCTCTGCCCCCCTCATGGGCACCGTATCAGACAATAGTGCCACATTCCCTTCATCGCTGACAGCCTCTCTTCACCCCTAACCGCCTTGCCAACGCCCAACGCCAACACAGCCCAATGGAGGCAAAAGATATGATGATGACGAACGTGTCAACAACAGAAGAGGGGGAGACCAGGGGAGAAAGGGGGGAAGGGAGAGTGGAAGTAGAGGGGAAAGAGGAGGAGACCCAAGAGGAAAATGTTAACTTGGTTCTGGCTGATGGTCTTGGAAACAAAGGACCAAAAAGCCTGACCTCTGACTCCGGTCAGCAGGTTTCTAACGGCTACACAACATCCACCCCTCAGAGCCCCAGGGAGGGGTCGGCACAGAGAACAGCCGCAGGGGCGGCTACCACGCCTACGGGGGGAACCGGGTTAGCCGGGCCGCTGGGAGGTCTGAGAACTCTGGTGGTCCAGCAGACCAGCTTAGAGAGGCCCAGAGAGACCTGGAGCAAGAAGATGGACTTCCTGTTGTCTGTGATCGGCTATGCGGTGGATCTCGGAAACGTCTGGAGGTTCCCGTACATCTGCTACCAGAATGGAGGAGGTGAGGAATCAACAGGTGTTTGAAAGAGACATAAAGGAGAAGCCTCCATGTTTAGTTTGTTTGTCAGTAACTCCCTGATAGAGTCCTGAGTCTTAGAAACAAGAACCCTTATTTTGTAATTCCACAAAGCCCCAGTTGCTCTCCTACCTCCTCATCCTCACCTTGCATCAAACAAGGCCTCCTTTTTTATTGAATCTGCAATAATAAAATTTTTGCAATTTCCTGTGCTCCGTACGTGAGTCGCTGTCCCACGGCGAGGTAAGAGATGGAGACTGGGAGGCTTGATAGAGGCAAGAGTATTAATTGTGCTTTTTATGAGCGTGCCCCCGGTCTCCGTCCTTCTCTTAATAACCTGTCTTCCAGGCAGCTGCTCAATCAATCCCTTATCTTCGCTTTCATGTCACAAAGAGGCTCCGCGCACGCAAGTACGCACCGCCCCGCCCGCACACGTGCACGCAAAATAAGTTTATGATCAGATAGCTGAGAGGGAGGAGTTGGATATATCCAAAGATCTGACATCCGTCCAGGTGGCTGTTCCCTCCCAACTAATTCTATTTAGGAGCCAAAGACACACTGCAAAAAATTTTAATCTCAATAACTGATAACTTTTCTTGAAATAAGTGTATTTTTTTTTTCTTGAATTAAGGAGGTAAGTGAGACACTTTGCCAATAGAACAAGACAATTTATATTTTAAATGAGAAAAAAACTATTATATTCAGTTCAGTTCAGTACAGTTCAGTGGCTTTTATTTGTGCATTAATAGAACACTTTTCACACACACATTCACATTTCACAAATAAAACCACAGGAAATGCATCAAATATTTTAAAAAGATAAAAGTAAGGTGGATAAATACATAAATATGTGCAGTGCAGGGGATGAATAAAAGCATAGGCCTATATGCATGCAACATAAGACATTTTTCACTCATTTTTAGATTTAGTTTTTGCAGTGCAGTTGAGATGTTTGAAAACACACTGGAAAAACTAGTAAGAAGTCTAAAAAAATTTAATTT